GGCAATGGAGTCTACAGGAACAGGATACAAGGGCTCATGGGAAACATTTACACCAAGGCACAGATCACAGGCCTGGTCTTTCCTTAAATACACCTGCTGTAATCAGCCCCAGGTGTTGGCTGACTGCAGAAGTGAGCTTCTGGCTGCTGAGAGCACCGCTGGTCAGCCCTGGTACTGCAGCCCACACGGCAGGTGAGTCCCACCACCAGTGCTGAGTCCATTCCTGACATGTACAGTATATATATATATTTCCTGGACCTCCTCACGTCAGCCTTCTACGTGTCAGCTCCGCCCTCCTTACACCTCCAGGACAACCCATAACTAGCCAATAAATCTAAGCGTATTCCCCCTGAGGTTTTCTTTTTCCGTCCTTGCTGCAGACACTCATTGAAGAGACAGAAACTGTGAAAGTGGTACCCTGCCCAGGTTCAGCCTCTCCTGGGTGTTTAGGTGCAAGGCTCCTATATGCTGGGTGCCTTGAGTGCTCAAGCAAAGTGGCTGTTAGGAGTATAAACTGTTCCAGATTGTGGCTGGCAGGTGTTGAGGTTCTTACCTTCCTTCCTCTCCCTCCTATTCCTCCTTTATGGCTGGACTGACTGGGGCTTGCTGTCCTCCTTCTCCCTCATGGCTCACAGGGGAGGAGCAATTGCTGCAGAGGCTCTGAGCTAGGCAGCTGATCGGGTTTCAAGCTGCCTCATTGGCTGCAGCAGGAGGCAGGGAGGTGTGACTAGCTGGGACTTCCTAGTTGCTAGGCAGCAGTCAGGAAGCTTACAGCTCCTCTCTGAGGCTTTTGGGGGGAGATTTAAATCCTGCTTCCTCCTCTGCTCTTGTCAGATGTGGAGACTTTACACAGACACTGCAGCTCCCTGATCTCTTTCTGCTGGCTTCAAGCTCCAACTGCCCCTGTGAGAGTCTATGAATCCTTCTGAGATACTATCAGTTTCAGCTTCTTCCTGTGCCGTATATTCATATGCTCTTTTTTATTTCTGTTTCTTTAGTGCCATCATGAGTTCCTCCACTCTGCCAACCAGAGCACTGAAGCAAACTTCTGAAAAGTTATTTATTTATTTATTGTTTGTGTGCTTCTTGCCTTAACCACTTCCAGACCGGACACTTTTACCCCCTTCCTGACCAGGGCAATTTTCAGCTTTTAGCGCTATCACACTTTGAATGACAATTGCGCGGTCATGCAACACTGTACCCAAATGAATTTTTTACCATTTTTTTGAGACAGATAAAGCTTTATTTTGGTGGTATTTATTCACCACTGGGATTTGTATTTTTTTTTGCTATGTAAATGAAATGTCCAAAAATTTTGAAAAAAAGTGTTTTTTTAACAAAATTTTGCAAATAAATAATATTTCATCATAAATCTTAGCCAAAATTTATTCCGTTATCTTTTTAGTAAAAAAAAAAAAATCCAAATTAGTTTATAAGCAAAAATTATAATTTTATATATATATATTTTATTTTTTTATATTATTATTTTTTATTTATGTTTTTTTTTTTTTACATACTGTCACCCTAGCAGTACAGTGTCACCATGGTGACACTGTACTACTTGTGGGGGGTGATGAAGATTTTTTTTTTTTTTTTACACTGATTGCTTTTACACCCATAGGATGTAAAAGCAATCATTTCTCTTTCTCTCTGTGTGCATTCTTGCACTCATTGAAAAGTACTGAGTGAGCTGTGATTGGTCACAGCTTGTCACATGGTACAAGGTTTTTATGAATAGCCTTGTACCATGTGACCTCTGTGATCATTCACAGATTTCACACGTAGTAAGCAATGATGTCACAAGTGACATCTTGCTTACTACTTTGCATGTGATCACTGATTGGCCAATCAGTGATCACATGATCGGGACCTTGTACAGAGGTCCCGTCCGACGATCGGTGTTTCACTGTGTCCGGAGGACACAGCGGGCACCGGATTGCGGTGCTGCGCGCTCCCAGGGAGCGCACACAAGCAGGGTGCGGGGAGGCCGTTTATAGACGGCCACCCGACCCTGCACTGCCACCGTCCGGACGTTTATATACAACGGCCGGACGGGAAGTGATTAAAGATGCAGCGCAAGATAAAGAAGCAGAATCTAAGGATTAAATTAATCATATATTAAAGAGACAGTAACAGATGGCTTTCGCAGGCTTTCGGGAAGATCTCAGAGAACTTCAAAAGATATCGCTCAGATGAAATTTCACCGTCTCCAGAGTTGGCTTCCCATCATGAACTAAATTCAGATTCTAAATCCTCGGATTCAGATTCAATTCCTGAGACACACTCATTCGATCTTACGCAAGTTTCAACTTTGGTGATTGTGGTTAAACAAGCCTTTGTCTGGGAGGATGAAAAAAACCCTCCTCCAAGAAAGCAGAGGAAATATTATCCAGAACTAAAAAAAAGAGTTGCCTTCTTTCCTTTTAATTTTCAAAATCAGGGAAATAATTGAGGAAGAATGGCTGAACCCCAGCTGCAAACTTACGACACGCAATAGGGGAGCTAAACTATATCCATTTAAAACAAAGGACTCTGAGCTTTGGGAAACACTCCCCCAGGTGGATGCAGCATTGCAGAGGCTGGCAAGGCATGTCACACTGCCTCTCGAGGATTCAGTTTCCTTTAGAGACCCCACGGACCGGAAAGTTGATACAGGCCTCCAGAGAATCTTTTCGCTAGCGGGAGCGGCGTGTAAGTCAACTGTGGCATTGACATCTGTGGCAAAAGCTCTGGGGGTTTGGATTTCTGATTTGGCTTCAGTCTCAGAGGGTCTGAGAGTGCAGATGAGGTCTGGTTCTTCACCATTGCAACTTTTACAACGTGTAGCAGATTTTATCACAGAACTGGAAGTCGACAAAGTACACATGGCAGCCAAGCTCATGCTTCATTCAGTGACAGCACGTAGAACCCTGGGGTAAAAGTTTCAGAAGTGGAGAAAAGAGGAAGTGGAGAAGCATGTTTCCCTAACTTGCGAAACCCTCAAAACGTTTGGCTGGATAGTCAACATTCAAAAAAGCCATCCCCAACCTTCTTAGAACCTTGAATATCTGGGTGTCCTCTTCAAGACTGACCTAGTTTGAGTATTTTTTCCTTAGAGGAAAATTTCAGAGATCCAGAGTTTGAAGAGAGCTGTGATGAAGCAGTGAATCTCATCAGCGAGGGAAAGTATGCAGTACCTGGGCCAGTTGTCGTCAACAATTCCAGTAGTCCTGTGGGCCAGATGCCATTAATTCAACTATCTGCAGCAGTGGAACCACCATTCCCTAATACAAGGTATTCTCATTCTCGCTTCGATTTCTCAGTCCCTGAGGTTACATAGTTAGTCTGGCTGAAAAAAGACAAAAGTCTATCCAGTTCAACTATTAAAAAAAAAAAAAGTTATAATCCTATACCCACAGTTGATCCAGAGGAAGACAAAAAAACCAGCAAAGCATGACCCAATTTGCTCCTGCTGGGAAAACAATTCCTTCCTGATCCCATGAGAGGCAATCAGTTATTCCCTGGATCAACTTTACCTATAAATGTTAGTATCCAGTTATATTCTGTGTATCTAAGAAAGAATCCAGGCCTTTTTTAAAGCAATTAACTGAGCTGTCCAGAACCAACTCTTGAGGGAGTCTATTCCACATTTTCATAGCTCTCACTGTGAAGAAACTTTTCCATGTTTGGAGATGTAAAGAGTGCCCCCTTGTCCTCTGTGATGACCTCAGGGTGAATAGCTGTACACCGAGTTCACTATATGAACCACTGATGTATTTATACATGTTGATCATATCCCCCCTTAATCTCCTCTTCTTAAGAGAGAATAAATTTAGTTCCTCTCATCTTTCCTCATAGCTGAGCTCCTCCATGCCTCTTATCAGTTTGATTGCCCTTCCCTGTACTTTCTCCAGTTCCCCAGTGTTCTTTTGTGAATTGGTGCCCAAAGCTAAACTGCATATTCCAGATGAGGTCTTACTAATGTATTGTACAGGGGTAATATGATAGCTCTCTCTGGAGTCTATACCTCTTTTAATACAAGAGAGGATTTTGCTCGCTTTAGAAACCACAGCTTGGCATTGCATGCCATTATTAAGCTTGTGATCTACCAGAACTCCCAGATCCTTCTCCATCGTTGATTCCCCCAGTTGTACTCCCCTAATATGTATGATGCACGCATATTCTTAGCCCCCAAGTGCATAACGTTACATTTATCAACATTAAACCTCATTTGCCACATCAAACAGTGCATTGAGGTCAGCTTGTAAGTTGAAGACATCCTGTACGGACATTATTCCACTGCACAGCTTGGTGTCATCTGCAAAGACTGAAATTGTATTTTTAATCCAAGTCCCTATATTGTTTATAAATATATTAAAAAGCAAGGGTCCCAACACTGAACCTTGGGGTACACCACTGACAACCCTAGACCATTCAGAGTATGAATCATTAACTACTACTGATGTATAGATAGTGGAGCAAGCACTAATATTGATACTGGTAATGAGCAGCTGAACACACTAAAGAGTACACCAAGAAAGCCCTCGAATGAATCAATAAAAAATAGTGCAGCGCTTTCATGAATCCATGCTGTCTGTTGCTTAATATATTTTTTTTCCAGCTAGAACTCATCTACGTAGTCTTTTATTAAACTCTCCAGTATCTTCCCACCTATAGAAGTTAAACTAACAGGTCTATAATTACTTGGTAAAGATTTTGACCTCTTTTTAAATATTGGCACCTCATTGGCCTTATGCCAATCCAGTGGTACTATGGCAGTCATTAAAGAGTCCCTAAAAATTAGGGTGGTTGAGAATGAAGAACTTAGCATGAGGTGTGCTGCTTCAACCACCTGCTGTGGTGATTGTGACAACAGATAGCAGTCCCATTTAGAGATGAGCGAATTATTCAAAAATTCGATTCGGCTGATTCGCCGAATTTGTGGAATAAATTTGATTCGATGCGAATTTATTCGCTGCAAATTTAACTTATAAAAAGGGTTTCTAGGCTTCAGAGAGCCTTTATATTAGTGCAGAACACTGTACCTTTAATTTAAATGCCCTTGGAGTCTGCTGGGGAAGAGAAATAATACTGTCAGTCAGTATGACATGCAGATGAGTGCCGTCGATCTTAGAATCACCGCACACTTCACTCATTTGGGCAGTCACGGGGCCAAAACCAGAGTGTGGAGCCACAGTGTGGCGGTGGAGGCAGCAGCAATGGGAGGCCATACAGCACCCTATGACAAAATGGAACCCACCAGCAGTGTGAGGAGACCTGAAAGTGGCACATGGCGGAGTGTGGCGATGGAGACAGCAGCAATGGGAGGCCGTACAGGGACCCATGACACACTCTGGACCTGGCAGCAGCATGAGGAGGCGGTACAGGGGCCCATGACAAGAAAGAAGAAGAAGAAGATGAGGATGAGGATGACGAAAGAAGAAGTAGGATGAGGATGAAGAAGAAGTAGGATGAGGATGAAGAAGAAGAAGAAGTAGGATGAGGATGAAGAAGAAGAAGAAGAAGTAGGATGAGGATGAAGAAGAAGAAGAAGAAGTAGGATGAGGATGAAGAAGAAGAAGAAGAAGAGTAGGATGAGAGAATGAAGAAGAAGAAGTAGGATGAGGATGAAGAAGAAGAAGAAGAAGTAGGATGAGGAAGAAGAAGAAGAAGTAGGATGAGGATGAGAAGAAGAAGAAGAAGAAGAAGAAGTAGGATGAGGATGAAGAAGAAGAAGTAGATGAGGATAGGAAGAAGAAGAAGAAGTAGAAGGATGAAGAAGAAGTGAGGATGAGGATGAAGAAGAAGAAGTAGGATGAGGATGAAGAAGAAGAAGAAGTAGGATGAGGATGAAGAAGAAGAAGAAGAAGAAGAAGAAGTAGGATGAGGATGAAGAAGAAGAAGAAGAAGAAGAAGTAGGATGAGGATGAAGAAGAAGAAGAAGAAGAAGAAGTAGGATGAGGATGAAGAAGAAGAAGTAGGATGAGGATGAAGAAGAAGAAGAAGTAGGATGAGGATGAAGAAGAAGAAGAAGAAGAAGTAGGATGAGGATGAAGAAGAAGAAGAAGAAGAAGTAGGATGAGGATGAAGAAGAAGAAGAAGAAGAAGAAGAAGAAGAAGAAGAAGTTTGTTTCCGAATAAAAACATCTGTATCCTAAATGGAAACAAATAGATACAATGTTTTAACTGCTGTAAATGTGAAGGAACTGTCAGAGAACTGTCAGAAATAGCGGAGCTCTCTGCAGGGACACTTTTTGCCGGCTGTAGAAGGGATGAAAATCGGCCGATCGGGGAAAATTCGATTCCAAAACCAGAGTGTGGAGCCACAGTGTGGCGGTGGAGGCAGCAGCAATGGGAGGCCATACAGCACCCTATGACAAAATGGAACCCACCAGCAGTGTGAGGAGACCTGAAAGTGGCACATGGCAGAGTGTGGCGATGGAGACAGCAGCAATGGGAGGCCGTACAGGGACCCATGACACACTCTGGACCTGGCAGCAGCATGAGGAGGCGGCGGTACAGGGGCCCATGACAAGAAGAAGAAGAAGAAGAAGATGAGGATGAGGATGACGAAGAAGAAGTAGGATGAGGATGAAGAAGAAGAAGAAGTAGGATGAGGATGAAGAAGAAGAAGAAGAAGAGGAAGAAGTAGGATGAGGATGAAGAAGAAGAAGAAGAAGAAGTAGGATGAGGATGAAGAAGAAAGAAGAAGAAGAAGTAGGATGAGGATGAAGAAGAAGAAGAAGAAGAAGAAGAAGAAGGGATGAGGATGAAGAAGAAGAAGAAGAAGTAGGATGAGGATGAAGAAGAAGAAGAAGAAGTAGGATGAGGATGAAGAAGAAGAAGTAGGATGAGGAAGAAGAAGAAGAAGAAGAAGAGTAGGATGAGGAAGAAGAAGAAGAAGAAGAAGAAGTAGTAGGATGAGGATGAAGAAGAAGAAGAAGAAGTAAGTAGGATGAGGATGAAGAAGAAGAAGAAGAAGAAGAAGTAGGATGAGGATGAAGAAGAAGAAGAAGAAGTAGGATGAGGATGAAGAAGAAGAAGAAGTAGGATGAGGATGAAGAAGAAGAAGAAGAAGAAGTAGGATGAGGATGAAGAAGAAGAAGAAGAAGAAGAAGTAGGATGAGGATGAAGAAGAAGAAGAAGAAGAAGAAGTAGGATGAGGATGAAGAAGAAGAAGTAGGATGAGGATGAAGAAGAAGAAGAAGTAGGATGAGGATGAAGAAGAAGAAGAAGAAGAAGTAGGATGAGGATGAAGAAGAAGAAGAAGAAGAAGAAGTAGGATGAGGATGAAGAAGAAGAAGAAGAAGAAGAAGAAGAAGAAGAAGAAGTTGTTTCCGAATAAAAACATCTGTATCCTAAATGGAAACAAATAGATACAATGTTTTAACTGCTGTAAATGTGAAGGAACTGTCAGAAAACTGTCAGAAATAGCGGAGCTCTCTGCAGGGACACTTTTTGCCGGCTGTAGAAGGGATGAAAATCGGCCGATCGGGGAAAATTCGATTCGCGCATCCGAAGTTTGCTAATATTCGGATTTGGTGCGAATCGAAATTTTTCCTAATATTCGAAAGGAATTCCACTTCGCCAGGTTCGATTCGCTCATCTCTAGTCCCATTGCTTGGGTCAACAAGCTCAAGGTCAGTGGAACCAGAGCCCTCCTGCAGCCTCCAATCAGTTGGAGCTTATTGTTATTGTGGAGGCTCTTCAATCTTTCTATCTGCTGCTTCAAGGAAGAGCAATGAAGATTTTGTCAGACAACAAAACAATGGTAGCCTATATGGCCCTTCAAGGGGGATGCACAGAGATTGAACCTACTGAGGATCACAGCTCAAATTTTTCTCTGGGCAGAACATCATCTGACATCCATAACAGCGGCATATCTTCCCAGAATACCACAGCAGATTCTCTAAGTCAGAAATTTGTCAACCACAAGGAGTGGTTACTCACTCTGAAGTATCTCCAGACAATCTTCAGCCAATGGGGGACACCGGTGATAATTTGATGGCCTCAGCTGTGAACAGCAGACTTCCTCAATTTTTTTTTTTTTAAATCCACAAGCTCTGAGCCAGGATGCCCTTTCAAACCCATGGAGCCTTCTCCTAGTGTACATATTCCATTCCATCCCTCTAATTCTTTGAGTGTTATTGAAGATGCAGCAGGAGAGGGTCTAGGCAATAGTAATTCTTCCATTTTGGCCAAGAAGGCCATGATTCCCTTTAGTATGGAGAATGAGGCTAGAAGATCCAATTCCCCTACCACATCAGCCAGATTTGTTGATGCAGAATGGGAAAGGACATCCAAACATCAGGAGATTGAATCTGATGCCTTGGAGATTGAAAGGGGATGGTTGAAAGAAATGTATATTTCAGACGCAGTCATCGACGCCTTGCTATGCTTGAGGAAACAGTCTACAAATTCCACATACCAGCATGTGTGGGGAGCATTTTGTGAATTTGCCTTGACAAATGGCTGGGATCCTATCTCTCTCCGTCAATATGTAATGTGTTGGACTTCCTCCAAAAGGGCCTGAATAAGGGTCTGACATATAATTCCTTGAGAGTCCAAGTATTGGCCTTAGCAGCTCTGACCCAAAAAAGATGGGCATTACATCCTTTGTTGATTCTATTTTTGAGGCGGCATTGAGAATCTGTCCTCCAGTGAAGACCTACTTCCCAAAGTGGGATTTGGCCCTGGTCTTAAAAGCTTTATTGGGATCTCCTTTTGATCCTCCATCATCCTTTTCAATGTATAATTTTACTTGAAGAACGATTTTTCTAGTAGCTGTTTCCTCAGCAAGAAGAGTCTTGGAGTTGTGTGCCTTCACGGTGAAGGAACCGTACTGCTTGGTCTTTCCAGAGAGAGTGGTTCTCAGACCAGTACCTTCTTTTCTTCCCAAAGTGTCCATGTCTTTCCACTTGAATTGGGAGTCTGTATTAACATTCTTTATTCCTGAGGAAACAGAAGAGGAATGGAAAAAGAAAGATCTAGTTTAATCTCTTACAGTCTACATAGAGCACACCAAAGATGTCAGAAAAGTGGATAATTGCTTTGTCTACCCTTCAGGTCCAAGAAGAGGGCAGGCTATGCATCCTAGGGTTCTCTTGGCCAACATCATTAGGACTATACAATCGGCATATAAATTCTTGAATCTTCCTCCTCCAGAAGAAGTAAGGGCTCATTCAACCAGTGGCATGGCAGCGTCATGGGCTTATTATTTGAAGGTCTCGGCAGAGGTGGTTTGCAAAGTGGTTCGTTGGAGCACTATAAATGCTTTCATGTGCCATTAGAGGATTAATGTATCTTTGAGTGATTCTAAATGCTCTGGGGCTGCAGTTATTTCTTCACTTGTGAACCATCAAATGTCTGTGTGTTTAGCAGTACTTTTCTGGTCCCAGTCTCTTTTTTCCCCTCTCATCTGGATCTTGTTACATCCCATAATAGGCTAATGTGAGGAGGTCCAGGAATATGGAAAATTGTTATCATACTTACTGTAATTTTCCTTTCCTGGATCCTCCTCATGTCAGCCTGAGTCTCCCACCCTTCATTTGCATCACAAGGCTTGTGATGGAACACCTGAGGGGGGATTAGCTTAGATTTTTGGGCTAGTTATGGGTTGTCTTGGAGGGTTCAGGAGGGAGTAGCTGACCCGTAGTAGGCTGACATGAGGAGGATCCAGGAAAGAAAAATTAGGGTAAGTATAACAATTTTCCATAAAATTAATGTACCGTATTTTCCGGCGTATAAGACGACTGGGCGTATAAGACGACCCCCTACTTTTCCTGTTAAAATGTAGTTTTTGGGCTATACTCGCCGTATAAGACTACCCCTCTTCCAGTGCACATCAGTGGGAGGAATCGTGCCCCATCATTGGTGTCAGTGGGAGGAATAGTGCCCCATCATTGGTATTAGTGGGAGGAATAGTGCCCCATAATTGGTGTCAGTGGGAGGAATAGCACCCCATCATTGGTGTCAGTGGGAGGAATAGTGCCCCATCATTGGTGTCAGTGGGACGAATCGTGCCCCATCATTTGTATCAGTGGGAGGAATAGTGCCCCATCATTGGTATCAGTGGCAGGAATAGTGCCCCATCATTAGTATCAGTGGGGGGAATAGCACCCCATCATTGGTGTCAGTGGAATAGTGCCCCATCTTTGGTGTCAGTGGGAGGAATAGTGTCCCATCATTGGTGTCAGTGGGAGGAATAGTGTCCCAACATTGGTGTCAGTAGGAGGAATAGTATCCCATCATTGGTGTCAGTGGGGGGGGGGGGATAGTGCCCCAACATTGGTGTCAGTGGGGGGTGGAATAGTGCCCCATCATTGGTGTCAGTGGAGGGTGGGTGGAATAGTGCACCATCATTGGTGTCAGTGGGGGGGGGGAGGAATAGTGCCCCATCGTTGGTGTCAGTGGGGGGGAGGAAAAGTGCCCCATCGTTGGTGTCAGTGGGGGGGAGGAAAAGTGCCCCATCGTTGGTGTCAGTGGGGGGGGGAGGAATAGTATCCCATCATTGGTGTCAGTGGGGGGTGGAATAGTGCTCCATGATTGGTGTCAGTGGGGGGGTGGAATAGTGCCCCATCATTGGTGTCAGTGGGGGGGAGGAATAGTGCCCCATCATTGGTGTCAGTGGGAGGAATAATGCCCCATCATTGGTATCAGTGACACCAATGATGGGGCACTATTCCTCCCACTGACACTTGCTGACCCCTGTTCCAGTATGGTGCTGCTGCAGCCAGCATATGTGGTTGCAGCAGCACCTAAGCATGGCACACTTACCTGCATCTCCTTCACTCGATTTTCGCGGGGCCGCTCAGCTCCGCCTCCTCGCGGAGCCGAGCAGCCACACGAACATCCAGTGGACGAACTGAATGAAGGAGCAGCCGTGCTTCCTGGACCGGATCGTCATGGGACTGGAGCCAGGTAAGAGACAGCAGCCCCTGCCCACCCCTGTACTTAGTTTCCCTTCTGTTGGAAGGGGGGGGGGGCGGCGGCGGCGGCGGCATCGCGCTGCCCCCCCATAAAAAGTGTCAGCATGCCGTTACCGGCGTATAAGACGACCACAACTTTTGATTAGATTTTCAAGGGGTAAAAAGTCGTCTTATACGCCGGAAAAAAATACGGTATGTGTTTTCATTCTTTATCAGTCCTAAATTTAAGAAATTCAGCCAGCCATAAACACTGACTCTTCGGATTCTGCATTGTACTTGTGTGCAAAATATTCAGTCTTACTCCACATACTGTATATTCAGAATAAAATAATTAATCCAGATAGTTACAAAAATAATTAAATCACTCGGACTTCAGGTCATATGCTTAGTAATGGATTAAAATTAGTACACTTGATCATAAATACTTTAATGTAGAGGAAATAAATACAGTGATCCCCTATTAGAAGTTCACTATATGGTGCAGGTATATGGTTGCCAAAGTCAAAAAAAACAATGATTTTTTTTTTTGCTTGTCTTTTTTTTTTTTTGCTTGTCTGCAGATCTTTAAACATTCGTTGTGAATGGTTTTGTACATGCATTAG